TATGTTATAGTTAAACTATATAACATATCGATTGGGTAAGCATCTGTGACTTTGGTCGCACCAGTTTGTACTGGGAGGTTGCAGAATATTAGTGTGATATATAAATTATACAAAATCTGAATGAAGCAGCCAAATAAATCCAAGAGATCAGGTGATATAGAAGCTTGCTTAGAAAGTTCTAAGTAGAGAAATAATACAGATCTTTAATAGTATTATATAAAGGATTATTATCTGGAGAACCAAATATTAGTAGTAAACTGAATGAGAACTGAGTGTTTGACAAGCATTACACCAGCCAGGCTGCCAAAAAAATCAGATGAAAAAGGATTTATTTAGAATACCAGGAGATACTTACTGGTTCTTCTCAGACCATTTGGATTAGAAGTTTAGAATACAGTTAGTTGATATCAAAGTACTGTTGATAGTTTGTAAAATGTATACTAGGGTTTGGGTAAACTTTGCAAAGGCACAGAGTAGATAACAGTAGTGGAAATAAAAAGCTGCAAATACTTGGCCACAGACTAAAGTAAGTTATCAAAAATCTAGATAATATATGTATAGAATATAGACCATTCTAATAGGTTTACTATGAAGATAAAGTAGTTCTAAGAGGCTTTAGCAGCAGTTCTTCTTTGGAAAGAATATTTAATGGTGCTAAGTTGATCAGAAGGTTTAATTAGATAATCTAAATAATAGTAGATTATAGGTATAGCATCTAGTATAGAATCTAATAATAGGCAAACTACTTAAATTAGATGCTCAAAAGGCACAGATATGACTAAAATATACTCTCATTAATGTAACAAAATCAGGGGTAGTCCATGTGGTTGTCCTGATATTTAATTCAAAGTTCAATAAAATGTGCCTGACCCCAAAGTGATCACTTTAATATTAAAAAAAAAGATTTATATTACAATAAAAGTTATAATTTAGGATATTCTATAGAATAGATAGACAATATAAAAAATAAGCTTCACTAATGATTAGTAATCATTAATTTTTTAATATTAGAGTTGTAAAGTTTGCAAAATTTGGCTATCTATTCTATAGAACATTCATAATTTATTATAAATTTATAAATTATTTATAATAATACAAATCTATTATTATCTTAGAATTCTATAATTAGATTTTTATGATTTTGAATTTAATAAAATTCTTTAATCAAGAGAATTATTTTGATAGTTAAATTATAAAATTTAGTTCAGTAAATCAAAAGTTATTAATTATTAATTATTATTAATAAATCAGATATTTTATAGTATAGATGGGCAATATAAGAAATAAGCTTTGCTAATGATTAATAATTATTAATTTTTTAATAGCAGAGTTGCGAAGCTTGCAGAGTTTGCCCACCTATTCTATAGAACATCTAATAAATCTATAATTTTTAGTTAAAAATAATTTTGTAACTTTGACCAGAATAATGAAATTTTTAACCAAAATTATACCTAATACTTTAGCTAACCTATCCATTTACTCAAAAATTAACTAATTTCTAAAAGTTTTTTAATAAACCTATTAGATCTGTATGAGTTTATTTACAAAACCCAAGCCTAGCTCAGTATTTTAGTAGTTCTAGCCTGATTCAGCCTACATATTAATATGCTCAAAAATATATACTAACTATATATATTGTTTTGATTTACAAATTTGTGTAAAAAAAACAAAAAACATATAAATTTTGATTACTTTAAAGTTAGATTAAGGTCTTAGATTTTATTTAGACATTAATATATACAAAAATTAGTGAGAAATATTTTGATTAGCTATTCTAATAGGTTGGTGTAACATGGTGTTCAACACCTATAATGTGTTTTAGTAAATCCAATAATTTTTTATTGCAAAATGTTTTTTATACATAAAAGATTGATTTATCTAGTAAAATTTATTAATAACATGCTAAAAATGATTTTTTGATTTTTTTTTAAAAATTAATCTTTAATTGGCTAAAATCTTATAATATACTAAACAGAATTGCTTAAATTTGGTACTATTTAGTTATCTCAATAAGACGAATCGAATAGTACCAAAATTGATCGATTCTGGTAATTAAATCATAAGATATCTGATTTATTATAACTAAAAAATTTTTTGATTTTTTTTTAACTAAAAAATTTTTTAATTTTAATAAGCCAAGACTTCAAATCGGAATATTTTAGGGTTTAGAGAACAGAGTCGAATGATGTTATATCTATCATTCGATTCAGCTCAATGAGGTGAATCGATAAATCATATGATACGATCTAAAGATTTTGTTATAATACCCCTCTCTCTTATATACCCGGATAGCAAATATAGGTAAATAAATTTTTTTTGATTTTACAAAAATTGATCTGGCCGGGTTATGAGAAACTATTAAATTTGTATGGCCTTATACCAAATTTATAATAATTTTTTTTTAAAAAAGGATATTATAAAGTGGGATAAGGTTGTTATATTTTAAACAATAATTATAAACTTACATATACCAGTACGTATGATTCAGATACAGTATTGCGATCGTTAGAAAATTAACGTAAAACGTGATACTGTATATTCAAAAACATTACACGTTATGGTTAATTGGTTGCTACGTATTAACGGACAGACACGGTGCATTGCTTATTTAACATCAGAATAAAAGGTAAATGTCATCGCATGTACGTAATACTCCAGATGAAGATCGCTGGATAATATTAACGTACTGTACGTACGTACGTACGTACATATTTTTGTATTATCAGTTATCGCTACGTACGCAAATTTTAGATTAACTAAATAAATAAATAAATATATATACATTTAGTTAAATAATATACGTATGTATTAGACATATATAGTCATATATATATATCTGTATATCTATTAATATACAATATATATGACAATTCTTTCGGTTGAATTCGATAAGGTGAAAAGTTCCAACTCGGAAAAGTTTTTTTTTTATTTTTGTTATCACTTATTTATATAGTTACTATATACCCGTCAAATTTAAAGTTGGCAGCACGATGCCACGTATCACTATCAGAGTTAGCGTTAACAACAGTATATAAATATGTTATATTTATCATAATTATATAATTGATTAAATTAAGGTGGGCAAATACACATTTTGTAAGTAACAAATATATTTAATACGAAAGAAAACACACATATAATTAAAATTTGTTTAAATTAGTGAAAGCACAAAGATTAAGTTTAAATTTAAAATATATAGTTAAATTATCATAAACTCATACGTAAACGGGAATTTTTTAAAGTATACAATGTTGTACGTAATGTGCATTACGTACGTAGCAATTAGCAAGACCCAATAAAAGCAATACAATTATGCATTTAACAGTTAATTTTCAAATGCGCTAAAATGTTTTTATTTTACAGTATCTATACAGTATCTATACAGTATCGATACAGTATCGATACAGTATCGAGAGTTTCAAAACATACAGTAAAAATGATTAGTTACAAGTAGTCATATGTGCATAAGAGATTTCATATTGAACAATGATTTGTTATTTGTTTTGAGAAATAGTAATGCAACGAAATGGATAAAAATTTATTTAAACAAAAGGTGATTGGTATGAGTACAATATATAATCCATAAGTCCCGTCGCATGTCATTTTTGAAACTGAAGAATATTCCGCATTCATGTATCGATCTTCGTATATTATCAGTTATTATGAGTTATTATGTTATTATCAGTTATTATCGTTGTGTTATTATCGATTACGTATTATCGTTATTGTATGATAAATCATTGATACGTATTGATACAATTGATTTTTTTTAGCTGCGGCCGTATAATTCTATTATTGCGTTTATTGAAGATTTATTTGTATATATTCGGATTAGGATGCGCAGATTTAAATACGTGTGAGAAATTAAGTGGCTAATGTTTACTAAATAAAGAAGCAAGCGAGGCTCAGTGAACACAGAGCCATTCTCTGCAGGGAAAACAGTTCAGCTTATTATAAAATATTCACTTAAACAGTCGGTTAATAAAATATTAAGAGGACTATGTATTTGATGACCCTAAATGCATAATTTGATTTCGTTTAAACCCTCAACGAAGTGCTTGTTTGTTTTCTTTCCTAATTTTGACAATATATCGTTTTTTGGTCAATATAATGAAGGTTGCACTAATGATTATCTCGGAGCAGTGTAAAAATTTTAAAAGACTACTTTCAGTCAAGATATTTATATTTTCTATATATACTTTCAATGAAAAGTGATGAAAGTGGCTGTGTCTAGAAAATTCGTATCAAGTTTTTGATTATTACACGTGATATTTCCTCCGCAATAATTTTTTATATATAAGAAAGGTTAATTCACTAATTGATATCAATTTTTTTTTTCAAATTAATAAATAGATCAATCATATTTCTACATGCAATTACTGAATTATGCAATTAGAGGCATCTTAATAAACTTTTCTACTGTATTTATATTCTTTATTTCTTTTCACTGTTTGTGTAAATCAATCTAAATAAACCCAAGCATTATCATTCGTACGATTTTTGGGTGCACAGGTAGAAGATAATTTATTATTCGTATATTAAAATAATTTTTCGTTCTGTTAACCTTAATTTCCTAACGCTTTGGAATTTTTTTTTTCTTTTAATCTCCTCTCACTGACCTTTTTCGTCATTCTTTTTTTTCTACTCTCTAATCTCTTCCTCCTATATTCTTCCATTTTTCTCTATTTTCCTCCTATTTCCTCTCTTTCGATTAATATTTCTGATTCTACACTATTATCACAAGTTTACTATCATCAATTTATCGTTGTAACCTACAAACTTGAAAAATACTAGTTGATGTTTTAGTTGTTTCTTTTTTAAACTTGGTATCATCTTCATAAAAAATATATATTTTTTATTATAAATTCCTAATAAATAAGGTCTTTTGAAAATCTTTTTTTTTTTTTAAAAAAAAAAAAAATCATTACTTTTCCGTAATCAAAAAAAAAAAAAAAAAAAAAAAAAAAGTGGCAAATAAGTTTTAAGAAAAACAATAAACCATGGATTCCCCTTTTGACTCTCCACAAAATACACCTCCAAGACACTCGAGTATACCCACGTTTTCAACTACGTCTTTTACAGATCCAGACACTTCACCAAGACAAATAAATAGAGGCTTCACTTTGCCGACACCTGGGTCTCCTAAACGTGGCTATAAAAAACCTGCTAAACCTCGAGAGTTTGCAAAAAGTGCTAAAAAACGTCAATCTGTTTTAGCTCTGGGTAGTATTACTCATTTACAACATTTTTATGCAAAAAGAGGAATAATTTTTAAACCAAAAAAGCCAAAAAACAAGTATGTTTTTATTTATATATTTTTTTTTACAATTTTGGTTAGATTTTTTTTTTTTTACAATTTTTATCTTAATTTAGACAAGAAGCTGAGAAACTTAGTGTAATCACAAATATATCCGACCTCTTAAATATTACTGAAGAACCCGATGAAGATTTTCCCCCCACTCCTCTGCCACCTTCTCCTCCTCCGCTTCCTTCTTTCATCACTGCTAAATTGGATGTTGAAACTGATCCTGATGTCTTATTAGCTTATTGTCATGCTGATATCCAAACAATGTTGGATGCTTGGTCTATGGTCACCGGCGAAGTAAAAGCTGAAGCTGATCCTGTACCTGTTGATGTCTTGGCTGCTATTGAAACTACTACAAAAACTATTCAATCTGTAAAAAATTATTCTATGTTTAAAGAAGATCTTTCTGATGAATCTCTTTCTAAAATTCGTGCTGCTGCTTTGGAAGTTCTTGAAATGATTAGCAATTTGGAAAAAGACCATCGTGATGATGACACTGATGATAGCAGCAGTGAGGATGGTCATATATACAAAGAATCCAACTATAGATCATTAGATAGCCAACGTGAAATTCTAAAAAAATATTTGATGGTAGTCGAGGACTGTTTACTGTTTGACGATAAGAATATTTATCCTAATGTCTCTTATTTAAGAACTTCAACTGATGATGAAAGGAAGGGTAATGATGCTCCAATAACTCCTCCTTTATCACCTGGTCACCCGAATAGTGATTGGGTGGATCCTGATCATTTTGGTGATAATACTATTGGTAATTTTCTATAAACCTCTACCTATTTCTATTCGTATCCGTCTTTTTTAATAATATATATATATATATTTTTTTTTTTTTTTTTTTCATCAGCTCGTTATCACGCTTTTTTGGAAGCTCATCGTCCATCAAAGTCTAAACAAGCCGCTGATTATATTCCGCTTCCTGATCCTTGTATAGACAAAACCGAATTCTTAGCTTCTTTAGCGTATGTATTAAATTATTCCTTATATTTTTTCCGCTATTTATAGTTAACATTTCCTCCTAATTCTTTTATCTCTTTTATTTCTTTTATCTCTTTTATCTCTTTTATTTCTTTTATCTCTTTTATCTCTTTTATTTCTTTTATTTCTTTTATTTCTTTTATTTCTTTTATAGTGATGGTAAATTACTCTGCATAATTTACAATACAATAGTACGACGTTCGAAACGCCCTTTCGGTTTTATCGATAAAATACATGAGGACACTTCAAGAACCTATCGTGCAACCGAAAATTTGAAATTCTTTATGGCGTAAGTATTTCTATTATTTATTAATTATTTTAATTCATTAATCACCATAATTATTTTAATTCATTAATCACCATAATTATTGTAATTAATTAATTCATTCATTAATTGCTGTAATTTATTTGTTAATCATTTGTTAATAAAACAACCTCTTGTTTTTTAATAGTGCTTCCAAATTCCGATTTGATATCAAATTTGATGATATTAACGTAACAGAAGTTGTCAAATTGACAAATACTGGTAAAGCTCATGTAAGTTATCAAGTTATCCTATATTTATTTTTTATTTTTTTTCATCATATTTATTTTCTCATTAAATAGTTGGAAAAATTTTTGGAGATATTTTGTGAAAAAGCTATGCAAGAACTCATATCAACTGGCTCATATAAACAATATCCTTTATCACGAGTATCATCCATGTACGTACACGATGCTAACTCAAATTCACAAATACAGCTTCAAAAAGCTAAGATGGCAGCTATTAATTCCGAAGATCTTGCTTCTGCTGTTAAGGCCAAGTTATTTGTCCAATCAAATAGTAGCGGTGAAGATAGTTCATAGTCAATCATTTTGGATTTTGATTCAAAAAAAAAAAAAAAAAAAAAAAACAAAAAAAAGTAAAAAAAATCCATAATATGAACATTAAAAAAATCAGTATTATTCAAGGTTGGTGGGATATTTTATAGATGATAATTTGGAAAAACTTGGGAGCTTTATTCTTGATTTTTTCGACAAAGATAATTTAATTTTTTTTAGCCATTCGCTGGTCGATTATTGCAAAAAATGAGTATTTTTTTTATATTATATTACCATATTTTATTTTATTACACGTATATATATATATTTATATATTTTTAGCAAAAATTACATTCTATGAACTATCCCCTTTTGTGTTCAATTTGTATAGCTTCTTTTTTATACATATTTTCAAACTTTACAGAATCTGAATCCAATTTGATTATAATAGATGCTTTTTTTTTTTTTGAACAAATTATTAATAGTAGTGTGTTAATTCTATTTTTTATTTCTATTTGATTTGGTGGACTTGGAGTTTGAAGAAAATCAAAAATGATGCTATATACTAAATAATTTTGTAGCATGTGGTTTTATTAGCATTGGTTTTTTTTTTTTGTCTAATTCATATTCAATATTGGGTTAGCAAAAAAATACTATAATTACTATTCGATTATTTCGACACATGAAAAATAAACAACTACTTAAAGTATATCTATTTCCTTTTCTATATTATTGTATTCAAGTAACAAGTAGTTACTTATGATGTATATATATACAATAGTTATTTTTAATTCTAATAAACAACCGAAAATTTCTAAAATATATGTGCAGTATAATCGGTTCCATTAAATATATTTGTTTATTTGGTTAAATTCGGTTAACAAGAAATACAATCATTATGTTAAAACAATGTTTATTGAATTTTTTCTAACTATAATGATAAGAATTTAACATTAAAAGAGTAATTATCGACAATAATCGACATGAATCATTTTCAATAAATCATTAAAAAATATTATGTATCTATAATATGTAAAAATATGAAATTCTTCATATCTCTCGGGTAAACATAATTTTTTTTAGTTTTAAGCTTTTATACAGCATATTTTAAATTTTATCCAGTATAAAGAATATAAATATTTTAGATTATTCAATCTATAAAATTTTGAAAATTATTACACCCTAAGGTATTTGCAGGCAAATTGTCTAGCGTTAGGTGCAAATATTCAATAATTTTAGCTAAAAGTCACGTTCCCTATCCCAAAATCATATGTCGATAATACGTATAATATGCGTGTATAACATAATGTAAGTATATAGCAATAGTAATAATTCATGGATATTACTAAAACGTACCTATAGTGTTTTGCACCTATGTATGTATTATCTCAAAAACTGGCTGTGAGGTGTTTTAATTTAAAAAAATTTGTGTTAAAATTTTATATAAAAAACTTATAAAAATTTAGAAAAATTAATAAAAACATAATAGGTGCAAAACATCATCATAGGTGCATTTGATAATAATTGTAATTCAATTATAATTAGTAGTAGCATAAATAATAAAAACATGGGTTTGGGTTCCGTAGCTTATTGGTTAAGCTTCCAAACCCCCACAGACAAGGTCAACGGTTTGAGTCGGGCTGGTGGCAAAATATTAATTTACTACTGTAACCAATTGGAGCCAAATCGAATGCGAAGCCCTGTGGAAGTCCATGTGCAAGTATGAAATTGGATTAGGAATTCTTGAAAAGAAACCCAATCATGAAGCGTAGGCACTACATGTAGCAGTAGCATTACAGAAGGTTAAAGTTATTGAAGATCACGCAAGTAAGTTCTTGTAGGCAGGCAGCATCAACATCCTTATACTTCCAGTTTAAGCAACACCAACATCTCAACAGCCAACTTGTGTGGAACTTGATTGGGAGGGTAATCACCGGATTGCACATATAAGTCCTAAACTGGTATTGCAGTACTGGATTTGATTGGGAGAGTGATATAACAATAACTAAAACTGAAGTAGTGAGAGAAGTGGTAAACATAAGGATGACCTGTAGTAAAGAATTGGTCTTATCAGATTTGAAAGCACCTTTGGCACCTTGCATAGAAAAACTAAAATTAAAAGATTCTAAATATAGAGTAAAGGTTCTTATCTAGAAAATGTGTAAATTCGAAATGGTTAAAATACACCAAGCTAGTAATACTTGAAACAGGTATAACAGCATCACAAGGGACATTAACTTTAGAATATCAATCAAGTTGTAAAATACTCAAGTTAAAAGTAGTCAAATATTATGAAATTCTGTTAGAAGTAACTTGTCTAGTTACACAATATAGTCCATACCTAACCAACTATGGAAGTTTCTGTCTGAAAATAAGAACATAGCATGCAAGTACAAATAAATAATTATAAGAACCATGAAGGCTAATCTTTTGAAGAAAAAAAAAAAGTCTAGAAAAGGTGTTAATAGATAATAGACAAAAAGACAGTTAGAAATAGTGAGTCTAGTATCTGAAGAGAACATTAATAATGTTTATCACCAAATTAGAAAGTAACTTCATTACAGAGCCTTAATTACAATATCTATTTAGAAGTATATTTGTGGCTTAAGTGAGTAATGTAGAGAATATATATAGAATACTAATAAGGATAGTTCGAAGTGCAAAATTCTAACTATACGTGAACAGGATACAGTTGGTTTAGATAAGAGATTAGATTATAGATAAAATAGTCTAAGTTTCATGATCTTCTATATATAGTTTTGTATATAGATTTGAATAAAATTATAAAACAGATATAGTATTAATAAAAAACATGAGGCACAACCTTACCTTTAAAAAAAAATAAAATAAAATAATAATAATAATAATAAAAACATAAAATTCAAATCATAATAACTCTTGAACAAACAGACTCACACAATACAATTTATCTGGTTTATTTTAATATGCTCATTTTTTTTTATTTTACTGTATGAAGTGTAGTAGAAGGCTCAAGGTGATATAAAAATTCTTACTTTTATGCAATTTTAATGATAAAATACCAAAATTAGAATTTTTCTGTCTGTAATTATTATATATACATTTTTGATATTTTTATTAAAAATATATCAAAAGCTAAAATTTTGAAATAAAATAAATCTAATAAATTTATATATATATTTTTTAATGTTAAGGTAATCTCTTAGTCAAGTATATTTTTATTGTATAGGAATCTTATTATATATATTTAGAGAGCTATATCTGTATCCTTTTGGCACCTATTTGTTTACAATACCTGACAAAAGTTTTCTGCACCTGTAATTTTCGAAAGAACAGGAGTGGTGGTATGAAATTTTACACAGAGATAGTACATTGCATATGCAGATCATACTAACCTTCTGTGACAAAGTAGATAGTAAAAATATCTATGCTACTTATATATTTAATTTTTAGCTAAAAAAATGTCTCTTCTTTTATATTAATGATATAAAATTATATTCCATCTGAAGGGTTCTAAGCTCTCAATGCATAAGACAATGAAGCTGATTCACTATAATGAAAAAGCAGAAAGATATTAGGTAAAAGGTAGTAAGAAGACAGATATATAAATAACAAAATAAGGTCAGATTACAAAAGGGTTATCACTTAAAAGTAAAATAAACAGATTTTGAAGCTAACAAAGGAAAACGAAAATATTATAGTATTACAAAGTAACTTTATAATGTTATACTAATAGTTTTGTAGAACAATACTTTATAATTTATAGTTTATATTTTAGATATAATTCTTGTTAAATTTGTATTGTATTAAAAATTATATTGTATTTAGAATAGTTAGAATATTAAAGTATATGCTAGTGTGTGCTATATATTAGTGTATGCTATATGCTAGTATATACCATATACCAGTATATGTTGTATATCACTGTATGCCATATATCACTGTATACTGTATGCTACTGTATGCTATATGTCAGTATATGCTACTTGCTATATGGTTGTGCTGTATGCTAGTATATACCACTTGCTACATGGTTGTATACCAGTATATACTACTTGCTATATGGTTATAGATTAGTATATATTAGTACAATATATATAGTTATATGCTAGTATATGCCAGTGTATCCTATATAGTTGTATACCACTGTATGCTAACCTAACAGTTATTTAAAAGAAGGTTTTTCTCTCTTATTTCAACAAACAATTAGATAATAGACAGTTAGATAACTAGATAGTTAGAGTAAATAATAAATAAAAACTATTAAATATTTTTTGAAATATTGTTCTTTAAATATTCCTATAATATTTTCTTTATTCTAATAACGTTGTAATGTCTTTATTGTCTCTAAAACAAGTAAATAAATCCTTCTGCTTAAACTTTCTCTCTTGTTTTTTTTAAACCCTTCTTTTAAAAGTACCACTGTAATAATATGATAGTTATATACAGAGTTAAGAGATATATAGTGTTACAGGATTGTAGCCTTCTTAGTAAAATACAACCAAATAACAAGGTCACTCAGTGCAGTGATTGACTCTTGCAAATATACACAGGGTAGATGTATAGTTGTTCACTTAACTATATAGCAGAAGGCAAACAGTTTGAGATAGTAACAGTATATAGAATAATTTTATTTCATGCAAGAACACAGGATAAATCTTGCCTGTAGGAATTACTCTAGAAGGAGAATATCACATTTACAAAAAGGGTATAAAGAGAACAGAGTCTAAGTGAAGTATAGAAACTTATAGAATTAGCAGAGAGAGGAAAATGCACCCTTTATATATCTTTTTACCTATAGAAAGGATACACAATGCACAATAAATGAGTAACACTTGGCAGATGAAAAAGGAGAACTTATATAGAGGAAGTAGATGATTATGTTGGATGAAGAAGGTGATTGTGCTGGGTGAAGTAGGTAAATATAAATATTACTCATCATGTTTATAGTTTGTGAGGAAGAACTAGATGGCAATATTTTGTGTTTAAAACATTTAGGGTTTGTATAAGTGAATTAAAGATTCATATAGAGAAAGAAGGTTCGTATGGAGGAAGAAGGTGAACTT